AGTCCCTTTCAAGTCAAACATTGCAGTTGTTAAAGGAATTTATAAGGGGCAGTTTGCTGCCAAAATTACAAAAAGAACATATACAAAAAAGGGCAGAGGAAGGCCGGCTGCTGGAAATAAAAAGGGCTGCTTTCTGGATTTAAAGGGGAAATTGGGCGGCTTCTGGAGATAAATATAAGTTGGTTACTGTAAATGGAATATATATACACACACATACCGGCAGAAAAGAAGACATGCACAAAAGTGAGCGGTATGTCACGGATCGCAAGGTCATGACTTGAAACTTGACATGACACGAGAATGTCATGGCACAAGGTGGGAAAATGAGATAGACTTATGGCAAATAAGGTCTAAGCTTCGACGGTATATGGCGATGAGTGCGTCGCCAAATTTAGTGGGGAAGTGACTTACGCCTCATGCGGTCGCATTCGATTCGTCCCGATAGCGATCGCAAGATAACGTGGGTAACGCGTTTCAGAAGGACGGAATAGATTGCGATAGGGGACGCAAGCAGATTCGGCAAAGGACGCAGGCAGACTCGGGCTGGGGACGCAAGTAGACTGTTTTGGGACAGAATGCAGGCTGCCTAGATCGTGCAATTTTCCAGGGCGTTAATGAGGTTTTTCTAAGTCCCGACCCAGCCATTTTGGGAGGTAAAATACATGAACTTGCAGCTAGATATTTTAAGGATGCAAGTGGGCAACTTGCACAACTTGTCCACTTGTGTGCCTTGTAAGCTAAGCGTGAGTTGTATGCAAGCTAAGCACGAGATGGCAAAGATATTATGAAAGGTGCAAGCTAAGCACGAGTTGGCACGAGTTGGCGACAACTTGCAAGGCAAGTTGTAAGACCATCCACTTGACGACAACTAAGCATGAGTTGGCAACAACTAAGCACGAGTTGTAAAGTGGAATGTTAAGGAGGTTTAAGTTTTCCTATAAATAGAGATGTAGTCTCATTTGTAAATGGTATGTAGTAGATGTTAGAGAATGGAGAGAATGTAGAGTGAAGTGAGTTTATTCATTAGAGAGATTGTAAAGTTTTTCCTTTTATTTATACAAAGAAAGTTTTCCCATCCTTACTTGTTTTCCATAAATTACTTACTTCAAAATTTTCTTCTCAACGTGGGTATAATTTAGCCTCATTAGTTAAATTATTTGTGAGCGTGGAAAGGCTGACTTAACGTTTTCTCGTGAGGGGCGGGAATCGTCAAATGTTAAGGCAACACGGTTCTAGTTTGTTCGGGTGTAACGAAACTAGGCCCGTGACAGGCAGCTTTGGTAATTGGAATTAATTGGCAATTTTTGTTTGATAATTTAACAATTTAGCGGGAATTAATCACGTTTTATCGGTTTTTGGGGTTGTCTTTTATCTTGTTCATGCTTAATTTCGACAATATGCTTGACTAGATTTTTATATTGTTAGGATGTGATGAACTCTTGTTATGAAATTTTTGATTTGAATAATTAAATTGATGTTAATTTGTTTAACTGTTTGGATGTTTATTATAGCTTAATTTACTTTCAATTATTTGGCCATATATTGAATTGTTTGTGGATTTTATTGTCATCGAGAAAGGTAATAAGATCATTAGCACATAGTAATAAACAGTGTGACGTTCGATAGAGGATAGAGATATACCTCTATGCTTCACATGATTTTTATAAGATGTTCTATCTCGTTTAATGCATTTATCATTTTTGCATCTTTCATCGAGAGATACGAGGGTCACATGAGGGGATTAAATTTGATAACTATCGAGAGAGGTTTTCAATTAAAATAGGAACATTGACCAACAAGCATAATTTCAGATTGTCATTTAAAATTTTTGAACTAAAAATGGATTAATAAGGGAGATTCTATATCTTAGCAATATTTTTTGCGAATTTGATAAATTCTCTTTACATTACTTTTAAGTTAGTTGTTAGATTTAATAGTGTTTAATTACAACTCAATTTTTCTATTTGATTCAGGGTAGTGTTAGTTTTAATTTGATCAAACATATAGTCTTCGTGAGTTCGACACTCCACACACCTCTTTATTAATTGTTAACAATCCCATTTACTTGTGGGAAATCAAACGACCAAAAAGATTAAGAAAATTAGTTTTCACCCGGTGCAATGACTGCAAAACTTATTTGTAATTAATTGATAAATATTTAGCTGCAAATGCCAATTATCTGCTTAAGAAAAGAAGATGTATTAAAAAAATAAACTTTAGAAGCTGAATTGTAGGATGAAATCTTACTCAAAATCAAAATATACATAAAAATAACAACATTCACTCTTTCCAATAATTAAGTTTTTAATAATTGAATAGAGCGTTAAAGTTTATTTTCACTCAACAATTTATTACCATTCACCCAAGAAAAATTGTCAGTTAGCCAATCGGACATTGTCAATCAATAGATCTATTGTGCAAGTGGTGGCGATGTACGTTAGCTAGGTGACAATGAAGTTGCAGACCATAAAGTTCTCTATTTTTGAGGGAAAAAAAAAAGCAAAAACAAAACAAAACTTCAATCAAAGGCACGATATGGGTTGGGGAATTTGGGCCAAGTGTTAAAAACTGGTGGTCATTGAGGAGGTGCAGTTTAGCAAGACGGCGAAGGAAATAGTCTTGAAGAAATAGAAGGAAAAAATTGGTGATTACCTTTTTTATGCTTATGTGGGGTGAATAAAGGAGATGAGAAGGGGCAGACATTGTTAAGAAGTGCACCATAGCAAGATGGGGTGGCAGAGGAAGATGATGGTAGTCCGGTGATATAAGCGGTGATTGCGACAATTTGGAGCATTGATTGGTTTGGGGGGGAAAGATGAAGATGGTGGGAGGGGTGGGGGCAAAATATATTTTATTTTTTTAGTTTAATTGTCATTTTTCAAATCAAATGAAAATTTTGATATGGATGAAAATACCCTTACTTAAAATAGTCAAAATACGTTATTTTTGTATTTTCCACGTCAACTAACGATTTTATAGACGGTTTCCGTCAAGTTGGACCTCAGTTGCATATTTATGAAAGATTAGGGACTTTCGTTGGTATAAGCTGAAGGCTAGGGTAAAGTCTGTAAAAATTGAAATGTTAGAAATTGTTGTTGCTATTTTCCCTTATTTTAAAGGCATTATTGAAGGACAGACCAAGTCGTTGTTGACTGTGACAACTCTTTTCTAACTATGCACCTGTTTGACCCTTTTTTTTTTTTTTTTTTTGCCCAAAATACATTTTGAAATAGTATTTTGATGTAGATGTGTGATTAAAAAATAAAAAAAATTATTTTTAATTTGTATATAATATTATTTTATTGAAAATATGTAGTTGAAAATAAGAGAGAATAATGTATTTGAGAAATAATGGAAACCAAACAATGGCTAAATTTAAAAAGAAAAAGGTGGAAATTAGATCACACGAGAAGGGGGGAAAAAAGAAGTCAAGTTAATTTATGTTGATTTTTCACAAGGACGCTTTTGGATCACTGAAATAATAGTGATCGAGTGTTATAAATGACATAGCATACTTTGAATTCATGGTTTATTCGTGGGTAGGTAAAAAGTCTGTTTCATTAATTTAAATTATAAAAGTAAAATTTGGCTAACATCTTGCTTAGGATTTTATACCGATCTCTTGTGCATTATTTTAAAGCCATTATTAAAGGAAGGACAGATCCATTGTTAACGGTGACAAATCTTTTTATTTATTTATTTTATTTTATTTTATTTTTTTGTTTCCATACATTTTTTCTCCAAAAAAGCAACGACTTTTTCAACATTTGCTTTGCTAATGCGAAAGCATACGAGTGAGAGAGATAGAGAACATACCTCTTCTTCATTTATTTTTGCTGATATGTTCAACCTTTGCTTTGGTTTATTTTTTTGAAAATTTTGAAATAAATTCACTCTCATTATTCTCTCTTTGCTCAGCTTCTTGCCCCAAACCAAAAAAATGGATCTCTCTTGCGAAAATCTGTCACGTCTAGTCACAACCCCAGATCTCCTTTCTCATCTGCAAGCTTTAAAGCTTGATGGAAGATAAAAAAATGTCAGCTTTCAATGGCTCGGCCCACACTTTTTAACTTTTCTCAAATATGCAAAAGAACAATTGCAATTCTTCAAAACATTTATTGTGCATGATTTGCGTGATCTGTTGAAGCGTCTTGATGATTCAGCTTCTGATTGTATCTTATATGGAGAGATTGAACATTACAAAAATTTTTTAGAAATCATTCTCACGTTCATGCCAGAGCTTAACAAGTTTTTCACAATTCAAACATCAATACTTAATTACTTTCCCAACATGAATATGCATTTGGAATCTTCTCTGACTTTCTTTTTGAAACTATTCAAGAATTGCTTAGTTGCCAAAAGGATTCCACCGTTTTTTTGAGTAATCAGGTCAAATTTCTTCAGAAGGGGTTGAATTTTCTACTCAGCTTTCTTGTTTATCCAATTTCAAGCTATAAGCAAGAACAGGAGAAGAGTATATTCGCAGAAATTGAAGCTATATTTAATGAAGCAGGACTTTTCTTGCACTCTTTCTTTTTCACTACAGATCTTGTTACCTCCACCAACATGGATCTTGCAAGTTTTGTTCTGTTAGAAAAGATTGAGATTGTGCTAGTTAAGATTAAATATTATAGTATTGCAATGTCGAATGAAGTTGGAATTGGAAGCCTACAAGTTGCAGAAAGTCCAAGTGAAGTATCATCATCCCAAGATAACAGCATTCCCATGGTAGAAGAGATCGATGTGGGCTTAGAGGACACGACAACACAAACTGTAAGCAAGCTTGTTGGAGGACCAAACTACCGCCAGATTATTTCCATCATTGGAATGGGTGGACTTGGCAAGACAACTCTAGCAAAGAAAATATACAATCATTCCAATGTTCAGTACCATTTGATAAGCTCTCTTGGTGCGTTGTTTCTCAAACTTGTAATAAAAGAAAGCTGTTGATTGACATTTTGAGCTCCTCGCATGAGCTTACCAAAGAAAATATGTTAAAAATGAAAGATGACGAGTTGGCCGACCATCTTTACAAAAATTTAAAGGGTAGAAGATACCTCATTGTTATGGACGATCTATGGGATAAAGAAACATGGGAAGATTTGAGAAGGTTATTTCCAGATGACAAAAATGGAAGCAGAGTTTTGTTCACTAGTAGGATGAAAAATGTGGCGATGGAAATTTCTCGGGCGATCATTGAACCTCCTCTCCTGCCCCCAAGTGAAAGTTGGAATTTATTAGAACAGAAAGTGTTCAAGAAAGAACGTTGCCCTCGAGAGTTGGAAGATATTGGTAAGCAAATTGCAGAAAATTGTAAGGGATTACCACTTCTAGTAGTTTTGATAGCTGGAATCCTTTCAAATATGGAGAAAAAAGAAAGCTTATGGCTATAGGGGAATAAGACACAAGGCACTTTCAATGAGAATTTTGAACACACTTTTCATTGATTCTGCTGGTTAATTTATACAGACATTTAATTCTACCTAAGGAAATATACAGCAATTACAAATCACTAAATTTACTCTCATTGCAAAGAATAAATCTCATGATTCTGGGCCAAACTGATGCATAGATGGAGTGATTCTGGCCAAACTAATTGCATAGATGGAGTTGCTGACTTTATGATTTTTGAATTCCTTGATTTGTGTCATCTTCCCTTATACGCCCCTGCAAGATTGAGCTTCCATCGAGAAGACCAATCTTGTTTCTTAAAATTTCTGTCCGTTGCTTTGACAAAGGCTTGGTCATTAAGTCAGCCAGTTGATCTTGTGTATGTACATGTCAAACATCAATTTCACCTTGCTGAACTAGATCATGCACGAAGTGGAGATCTATTTGAATGTGTTTCATTCTTGAATGTTGTACCGGGTTAAAACTTAGATGGGTGGCACCAAGATTATCACAAAGAATGGAGGTTTTGTCTTTGAGTGGGAAACCAAGATCCCGAAATAAAGCTTTTAACCACATGGTTTCAGCCACTACATTGGCAAGGGCACGATATTTAGCCTTCGTAGTGGAGCGTGCAACCGCTCTTTATTTCTTAAAACTCCAAGAAATTGGGTTGGTGCCAAGAAAGGTGATAGAAGATGAAGTAGAAGTGCGATCATCTATGTTTCTAGCCCAGTCGGCATCACTGTAGGTTGTAAGAAGTGGTGCTGCAGATTTTTGAATCTGAATTCCATAAAAGATTGTTGTTTTTAGATACCGAAGAAGTCTCTTTGTGGCTATCCAATGGGATGTTGTGGGCTTGTGCATGAATTGTGACAGCTTGTTGACGACAAAGGAAATGTTAGGGCGTGTCAAAGATAGATATTGCAGGCTTCCTATCACTCTCCTGAACTCAGTGTTGTCCACTGTAGCTGTGCCATCCACTAAATGAAGAGATGTTGTGGTGGAGAGAGGTGTGCAAACATCCTTTGCTCCAATCATATTCGTGGTTTGCAAGAGTTCACGAATATATTTGTGTTGTGATAAGAAGGGACCTGTAGAAGTTGGTATTACCTCCACTCCTAGAAAAAAATGAAGCAATCCCAAGTCCTTTAAGGAGAACTGAATGCCAAGTTTTTCAATAACATGAGCCACAACTTTTTTATCATTCCCTGTAATAACAAGATCATCGACATACACTAAGAAATAGCATGTAATTGAGTCTTGTCGAAAAATTAATAATGAAGAATCAGCTATAGAATTCTGAAAACCAAGCTCAATTAAGGCATTCTTCAAGGCTGAGTACCAAGCCCGTGGGGCTTGCTTAAGGCTGTAAATAGCTTTTCGCAGCTTACATACGTGATCAGCTTTTTACATATCTTTAAACCCAGGAGGTTGCATCATATACACATTTTCAGTCAAGTTCCCATGTAAGAATGCATTGTTAACATCCATTTGTCTGAGCTCCCATCCATTGAAAACGACAATGCTTAAAATGGACCTTATTATGGCTGGTTTAACCACGGGCTAAAAGTTTCTTTAAAATCCAATCCAGGGCGTTGATTATATCCCTTCGCCACAAGTCTTGCTTTGAACCGATCAAATGATCCATCAGATTTCCTTTTGATTCTAAACACCCACTTACATCCTATAGGATTACAATTCTTGGGTGGGGGGACTAAATCCCAAGTACCATGTCTTATAAGAACAGTGAGCTCATTAGACATGGCTTCACGCCACTAGGGATGACATATGGCTTGACTCACACAGGTTGGTTCAAGGGAGGGTTGTATGGGATGTTTTGTGATTGTGTGGATTTGTTTGGGTCTGAAGATGTTATTCATTGATCTTGTGACCATGGTGTGAGTTCGGGTATAGGTATTTTGTGGTTGTGCTGAACTAGGTGCAGAATTTGACATTTGAAGCACTCTCATTCATATCAACAAATCCTAGATTGACATTGGAATCTGAAGTTGCCGGAGCCAAGAGAGAGGAGATATTACCTGGAGGTAATGCTTGAATGGCAACAGGTAAAAAAATGCAAGGTACAGATTTGGGCTATAGTTTGTGAGTATTATATAGCTTTGTGAGAGGCTAACAAAGACACCAAAATTTCTTAAGTTTGAGGTAATTTGGTTTTTGTCCAAAAAGAGCCTCAAATGGTGACTTATTTTGAAGAAGTGGAGTGGGTTGATGATTTATGAGATACGCGGCTGTTTGGAATGCATGTGGCCAATAATAAAGTGGTAGGGAAGCATCATGAAGAAGAGTGAGTCCTGTTTCCACAAGGTGACGATGACGTCGTTCAGAAACACCATTTTGTTGGGGTGTATATGGTGCAGTGGTGTAATGACTTATGATATGTAAAGAAAGATAGTTTTTTTAAACCTATGAATTCACCACAATTGTCTAAATACAAACTCTTTATCTTAGAGTTGAAGCGTTTTTCAACAATATTTTTGAATTGCGGAAATATAGTAGACACGCTTGATTTTGCAACCATTGGATAAAGCCATATGTATTTCGTATAATGGTCGACAAGAATAAGATAATAACGAGATCCATCAAGACCAATATGGTGTGTGGGTCCCCAGACATCAGTGTAAATAATATCAAGAGGAGCATGACTTTGAAAACTCGTTGAACGAAATGGTTGTTGATGTGCTTTATTCATAAAACAAGAAGTACATGAAGATGATATTTTTTTTGTGGTAATCAGAAGAGAGAATTGATTAACAAGATTTTGAACAACTTTAATGGATGGGTGTCCAAGACGTTTATGCCATTCATCAAGAGAAGTTCTTTCATGCACATTGGCCACCATTTGTTGAGTTGAAGTCACTGGTGATTTAGGAAACACATAGACACCATTCCCACATGCACCTCTTAGTAATATCGTCCTCGTGTTCCGTTCATTCACAAGAAAATGAAATGGGTGAAATTCAACAAAGACTTTATTATGTTTTGTAAAGTGATGAACAGAAATTAAATTCTTACGAATATTTGGGACGCAAAGGGTGTCACTCAAGATAAAGGTTTTTTTTGGTGAATGTAAGGTTAGAGAACCAACGTGTGAGACAGTCAAACCTATACCATTTCCAAGGACAACTTCATCAGTTCCATCATACTCAGAATGAATGGATAAATTTGTGAGATCACCCGTGATATTGTGAGAGGCTGCCGAATCAATGAGCCATTTATTTTCATTTGTATTTGATGAAGTAGCATAGTTTACCATCACTTCATTTTGTTGTAACTGTGGACAAGCTTTGGCAGTATGGCCCAACCGATCACAGAGCTGGCACTTTGGCTGGAAGCGTCGTTGGGTTGTGTTGAATCTTCCCGAGTTTTGATTTGGTCGGCGTTGATCTCTGCCATTGAATGGGCGATAAGAGGATTGCTGCTTTGATTGCCCATTTGATTTGTTGAAGCTCTTCGACCGCTGTCCTCCAAAGCTTCCATTTCTTCGACTGGTAAAGTTTGCAGCAGCTACAATCTGTTGAGTTGTGCTAGAAAATATACGTAGAAGACGAAATGTTTCCGTTTCAACAGTAAGTTAAACTCACTCTCTTTCTAATTCCTTCTCGTTTTACTTCTCTTTCCCAATTTAGCCTACTAACTTGTTGTAATTATGTCGATGCTGCTGCTGTTATTGATGTTGGTTGATGTGGTTAAACTAGTGATGATCCTCCTTGTTCTTATTATTCTACTTCTTTAGTCCATTATTGATATCTAAGTGTCTCCGTCGCTTGTTTATGGATTGGTATCATCATCTCCTCGGGGCATTCTCCATTTCTTTTAATTTGGAAAAAAATAGGATATTGGAATCATGGAAATGTATGGAAATGTAGAAATTATCGACTGGGAATCAAAATTATGCCTAGTTTGAGGTATTTAAGTTCTCTAAGATTAAAGCCATCAATAGGCAAACTCTATCACCTTGAATACCTTCATTTGAAAATAGTAAATGAAGTACCAACATACCTTCTCAGTATGCCTAAGTTAAGGCATCTACTTGTCAACAACAAATTTGATCGCGCAAGATTCACTAAAGATTGTGATGGCTCCTGAATAAATTGTCTACAAACCCTTCGTTACGTGCGTATTTCCGTTTCGGAAGATGAAGAACTCTTGAGATGTTCACCAAATCTTCGTACGCTTAAATGCAAAACTCCATTAATCACTTTCCTGATCTCAACTTTCTTTCTAAGCTTGAATCACTTTCAATTTTAACCTATGATGAAAAAAGATTTAAAGGTGATTACTCAATGTTTAAATTTCCCATGAATATCAAAAAGCTCACTCTTTCATATATGAGTTTGCCTTTGGAAAATATGTCCTTAATTGGGACATTGCCCAACCTTGAAATTCTGAAATTAGAAAAAAGAAGCTTTCAAGGAAAAATCTGGGACACCAAGGACGATGAGTTCCCAAAACTCAAATACCTTGAATTAGATAACGTATACCTTGAAGACTGCACTTCATCACACGATCATTTCCCAATGCTCGAAAGATTGGTGTTGAAATACTATGGTCATTTGAAGACGATTCCTTTTGAGTTTAGCGATTTCAACACTACAAGAGATTGTGGTATATTATTGTGGCAAAGATGTCGAAACTTTAGCTCTGGAAATTTGTGACGGACAACGGGATTATGGTAATGAAGAGTTTGAGGTGACCATCAAAAACTTTTGCTTCTGAGGACAGCCTTGTTCTACTGGTGTACACCGTGTAAGTCAAAGCTCATCTCATACTTCCTTTTTTCTTGAAATAAATATCTTTTTATTATTTATTTGATTAATGTTTAAATTTCCTTGCAGGAGATTCCTTTACATCCCACACCACAGGATGAGAAAATAATTTTCGGCTTTTTCTCAATTGCTAGTTGTTGTGCTTTTTCATAATCTTTTCCTTGTAGTGAACGTAAAGTTACGACTTCTTTTTTACAAGTAAAATTAAATAATGA